GGTTGCGATGCTGTCAGTGCCAGAAAATTGCAAATAATATTCAAGGCAATACACTTCCTAATGTCTGCACACTCTCCATCCTCTGGAACGAGCGCTGATTGATGTCATTTTCACGCCAGACCAAGTGCAGCTTTATTTGACAGTTTGCTGAAATAAAGGCAGCCATGTCATCCGCGTTTAATGTTCCTTGACAAGGCAGTGACTGCTTTTCATTCCCTTAATGTAGACGAGACCAGAGCTGCTCTGCTTCGCGTTGCTGTCTTCTATGAGTAACTGCGTGCGGAGGCCATATAGTTATTTTGGTTAGAAGAGCCTATTCATTCACACCACTAAGGATACGAGAGCTTTTAATCATTTTACTGATCGATTTAAGATTCACCCTCATAAATGGACACAGGAAATTTTCAGCCGGAGTGATAAAGCATAATAGTTGTGCCACAAGATCAAGATTGATTTGATCGGTTTGAATGTTAAACCACGATGGTCCAATTTTTGGTGCTTTATCTCTGCTCGCAGTTCATTTCACCTCTAATCATTTTCCATCGGCAGCGTTTTCACTCATTTTAATAGTGAATAATAGCACCGTATTGAAATCGTAGATCACTATTATAGCGCCGTTTAACGTGCAGGACCCGTTAAAGTCTGGATCTAAGCTGCGTCCGAGCGCCGCTCAAACCAAAGAGTTAATAAAGTTGCTAATTTATTAACCGGTCTGTTTGAGCTGCGCTCTTAAAGAAGCCCCGTGAAGTTTGAGTTTTACGCTCCTTCAGCGCATGGACCGTTTATAAAAGATGAATGAGGCCATTGAAGCCGTTTCACCACATGCCCTCCGCTGATATGGAACCAAGAAGCTTGCGCATGCCGCCTGCCGCCTGCCGCCGACATTTTGTGAAGTACAGAGAAAAATACTAGTTTTACGGCCTAATCGAAGTGGTTAGCATTTTCTCATTTTTAGCATTTTTATGTGTTAATGGCCTCAACATCAATCCCCCCCTCCCATCAGTTTGCCTATTGCTGCACGTTTATGTGTGAAATTGATGTTGGAAGAGATTCAAATTAATCAAGGAGTATGAAGGTGTGTGTGTGGGTGTGTGTTTGAAGTAGGCCACCGGATAAACACGGCGGTGTCAGATTCAGTCGGTTGATTTAGCATCAGGAGGAGTTTATCCAGATTGGCATCTTTGTGATGCCTTTATTGAAGCAGAAAGCCCCAGCCTGTAGCGTTCCCTCTGAAAAGACACTGGCTCTACAGATAATTAATGACTGATTGGACTGTCAGCTGTTCAGCCAAAATTATGTACTTAGCTTTTTTTTTCCATAATCATGAAGGTGTGTGATGGATGCTACATTAAGTCCTAATCTGTTACGTCTGCTCATTGCTTGAAAAGGCCCGTGCTGCTGTAAAAAGAATATTGAGCATAATAGAGTTTGTTTTGCGTTCCAGTCTATAATCTCTCACAAAAGAAACCCATTCTTTTTTTCGGAAGCATAAAAAAACTTGAACATCCAACAATGTCCAAAAAGGAGCCTAACTTTATCCAATTACCATAGAAATGATAACATGACAACAGGAACAGCAGTCTTTAGGGATTCTCCCTTTTCCAGCTGCAAGGTGGTCCTTTTTTTTTTAGCTGTCTTTCACTTGGATTCACTGATGCAGAGAAAAGAAGGATAACGGTCACTTTTTTTGTCGTGATGAGGACCACATGCTGTAGCTTGCTTACCGTAGCCCTTTATGTTAAGGCAAAGCAAGAAGTCAAAACTGACCTCGACTCAACAGAAAAAATGAAAAGTAAATGTAAAATCAAATTTTTTCTCATCTCTGTTAACATGCGTCATGTCATCTGGCGTCAGACTGCACTGTCCACTCTCACTCCAATGCTTTAGAACATTCAGCTTTATTTTCTCCATGGTACTGTTCACTCGACAGCTTTGAATTAAACGCTGAGCCACCGCACCTAATAACTTTAAGGGAAACCATGAAAAGGCAACAAATAGACAGCACGGACACAGGACCCCTATCAGATGTGGCCCTTTAGAGCTCTGCTTGGAAACCTGAGAGAAACAAACCGTACGCCAGTGTTTGCAGGATGTGACTTCCCATTAATGTGACTACTTGCAGGAAAGAATTGCTGTTGTGAACAAGAAATGAGTATTTTGCCAAAATCCGTCCAACCGAGTAAGACTGTGCATGTAACTGTTGCGCTCATACTAACACGATGCTGGTGCGCCATGTTGATCTACATTCATGGAAAATAAGTGTGAGGGGGGGAAAGGGAAGCATTTTCCTCAAAGGGCTCCACCTGGGCTCTTTAGGGAGGCTCTTGTGAGGGCACTTTAAGATGAGCCGCAGAGACTGTGGAGACCAAAGCGGCTCGTCCTATGTGGACAAGGACAGTAATGGAAATGTTTTAGATGGAGGGATGGTTGGAAACTTAAGAGTGCAGCCCCAGAAGTCCCTCAGAGGGTCAAAAGACCCTGTCTGGGATTAATGTCCATCAGCAGTACTCCATCTTTGCTCTAAGATTGAAAAGAGTGGGCAGAAATAGATGGCCGAGTTAAATCTTATTAGCCCCTTGTCCCACTGGCAGTCACCTTTTTGCACCTCAATTCATCTTTTTTGTGTGTGTGTGTGCGTGTGTGTGTGTGTGTTTCTTAGGGGGGGGGCACATTCAACAGGTTATTAAAAACCTTGCTCATGAAATGGACATTTACTGATAAGAAGCTCTTGTTTCAAATTTAATTCCGGACTCAAACTGATTGTGTATACACTCTGCAAAAACTCTCTCTCTATCCCCAGAATCGATCAAGCCCTACAATAAAATGGAGAGCGTGTGATCCAGCTCAGAAGTCAAGCATAATAAATTGCGTGCTGTGTTCAATGACTCAGAGCTGCATTAATATCACTGCTCATGCTTATTCATCAGCGCACATCAATTCCGTCTAACCCCAAATTATATGCAGCATGCTTTCATGTCTTTTGAGTGGTGGTATTTGCTCCAGAGAAGTGTGTGTGTGTGTGTGTGGGGGGGGGGGGGTCTTTCAGTGATGTATGATGCTGTACTTCAGTGGAAATGCCAGTGGATTCATGGTCAGTCTCCTGTTGTTCCCATCACTGACATTTTGCCTCAACACTGGGGAAAAAGAAGGGGGGGGGGAACTCCCATAATGTTTGAGTCATAAATACAAGATGTTACGACACACGGCCAGATTGTGCGTTGCTTCGTTTTAGCTCTAGTAGGATTTATCCGTGTCCCGTTTCCTGAAAGAGCAGAAAGGGAATGTGAATAAAAGGCCACTTATTACAATTGGAGAAACAAAAAGGTTCTACACTGATAGAACGTTTACTCCCTTTACCATTTATCCTTTTTTTTTTTTTTACATTGAACCTGTCTTTTAAATGTTTTTTTAAAAAGTGATGTATACATATTAATAGTAACAGTATTAATAGTGTCAGGGAGGGAGACTTTGTGTTAACCTGCAGATATAAAGTAACCAACCAATATCTGTTATAGGTTTTTGTGGAAATTTGTTGGAAAAAATACAAGCAAGTCAAAATGGGGGACCCAGTATTTAGTTTTAAATAGCACATTTCCCCAGTTTTTGAATTCCTAACTGGCCATTTTAGCAGTATGGAAGGATTCAAAACTCAGATTAGATTTAGTGTATCCTCATGGTGTCAGAGGCAATCATACTGTCTGCTCTCCTGGTGATAAAACCGCCTCCCTCGTGATAAAAACCTGCTTCCTTCCTGTCCCTCTTCAATTTCCTCCATTTCAACTGAGCTGTCTCTTCGTGCCAGATCCCCCACACCCCTCAAACGCACACACACACACTCTCTCCCTGGGTAAGTAGCGATGGATGCAGTCCACTAATGAGGATGAGCTCATCAAGGCACCTGCATGAGAGACGGGGACGTGCTTGGAGAGATTATCTCTCAACTGTTAATATGACTCTAATGGGACGACCTTTGATTTCCACCAGACTGACTATGAAAAGTTGTTTGCTTTTGGCTTTCAGACCGAGGAAGAACGGTGATTAGAGATTCAGCACGTTACATGTTCGGCTGTGAGTCGGCCTGCTTCTACTTGGTTTTTTAAGATTTTATTTTTTACCATAGATTTATGTTTCTATCTTCTGAAATCTATTTTAGCCTTTGGATTCACCAAGAGACATGAAAAACAAGAGCACACTTTTTTTTATTATAGTTTTTTCTTTTTGTCAGTTGATTCATTTTTTCTGGGTCTGACTAATTCTTTTATCTGAAGGATGAAAATCGGCTTCCTTGGTTCCAACAAACAGGTTTTTTCCCCTTTTTACTCCCTTATTTATCAAACATAAAGATACCAAACCTTTATCTCAGAGACGCTGTAAGAATGACTGTATTTTGTGTTTTTTGGACTGGCTGAAATATTTCCACTGACTCCTTCTGGAGGTAGTTTTGGGCTCTCGGGGAACATTTTTGAAAAATTCTTGTCGGCCTGAGGTCAGAAGGACCAGTCAGAAACTCTTTCCCCGCAACAACTGCAAGATGTGTCTCTGCGCAGGAACAAACTAATTCTCCGAGATTAAATCTTAACTCCATCCCGGGGCTAAAGTTTTCATATGACACAATGAGTCTTTCTGGCCTGATTGGGGAATTACGGTATTAGATCATAGGCCGGAGGGTTCAGCCTGTTCTTTCCTTTTACCTTGTCGATACATATTTTTCTCTCCCCTCTTTCGGCAAATACAGACTACAGACATGTGAGGAGCTCATGAGAGAATCGAGCGTGGGTTGAAATCACTCATGCCTTGCCTCGTCCAGACACGGGCGCTGTTATTCTTTCCATCCAACACATCACAGAGTGATTGCACGTCCGCCTCTTACATGTGTTGACCACTCTATAATTGATTCGGTGTTTGGCATGAGACCTCTGCCACCGTGTATTTGTGTTTTCGTTCTTCCTGCCCACGCAGCCCCACCATAAAGACATTTCAAAGAGTTAGCCACCTGAGAACTGGTCTCATCGACCCGCGAGCTCAGAGCCCCGCAGCAGCGTTTCTATGAGGTTGTAAATTTAGTTTTTTGTGCTCATCTTGCGCACAAGGTTGTGGCACGCTGCAGTGGCTGTGTTGTGTCTCTCAGTCACTTAAAGTAGAAAAGGCACACGATTGACTGAAAATGATTTTCTTTTTATTGTATTAGAGCTACCTCTCATTTGTCGTAGCGCTCCAATCTATTTAGCTTGGAATGAATTTCAACGGATCAGTAAGGAATCAGTATTTAATTTGATTACATCAGTGTAGTCACTTTCTTTTTAAGTCAGCGTGCAGGACTGATGTTTACTCTGTTCCCAGAAGTAAATGAGTTGTAAAAAATTCATGAGGTTTTTCCAGTGTTGCAGCAGCCATATCAACAAGTTCTCCTTAATTACACAAACTCTCACTAAGCATTAACTAGAAATCGCACTCATCGTCGTACCGGACTCTTAACTGTGGAACCTCTCCCTCACAGCCCGCACACACACACCCACACACACACACACACACACACACATATACACACACACACCATAATCTCAGCGTCAGCACAGGCCATGGGCAGGCTGTTATACCAGGAACTCATTTGGCATCAGCTTGTAAAGAGGCCACGCTCCTCTGGTCTTTGGCTTCCTCAGTGATGTAAAGTAAAACAAAGAATACTCTCTTAACATCTTCTCCTCATTTGGTGTGACCGCGTTTGGCTCTTCAAGCAAACAAACCAAAAAGTAAAGAATAAAACCCCCAATGCATTCGTTACTTTTGTATTTTTGGATCTAACGTGCCATTTTGCACCTTTTGGCCCGTTTTTCCTAACTCAGGAGGAACCCTGCTGGGCTGGAAACATGTGCCAAACACAAATAAGTGTTGCTTATTGGCAGTAACGCTCACATTTTGAATTGTTACTATTGCCATGGCTACAGTTGGGTTTTATGAGCATCTTCTTCACATGCATGGCATAAATGTTTGCAACATCCTAATTTATTTAACCAGAGACCCCCCCCCCCCCATATTTTCCATTCCGGATATAATGAGTCTGCATAAGACAGACATGGATGTTATTGGAGGCGTTTGAGAAACAACCCTAAGGTGGTAATTTAGGAGGTAGCCCAGCCAGGCTGTTGGAATATACAGCAGTTGCCCTCTTAAGGATGCATTATTTCAGAAATGATTAATGATGAAGCACAAAATATTCCTTTGTTTTTTTTTCTTTCACCGAGCAGTGTTGCTTTTTAAAAAAAGATTGCATGTATTGGTAATGGGATTGCTCTTTATTCGCCCTCGATAGAAACTACAACTAAGAGACCAGCTGTCTCAAACTTCAGGTTCCAAACAAAAGGAACAGAGACGTATGCTTTTCCAGCGCCGCTTCTTCAGATCAGCGGCAGGACGCTAATGACCTCCAAAGGAGAAAAACTCGACACCTCTGCGCTGAAACTCAGCCACCAAGCACTAAATGCACTCGGCAGCTCGCTACAGAGCCCCTGTTGATATTGAAGTAATGGGTTTGTCCCTCCTGTCCCCATGCTCAAATGTCCCATAATTCCCCATCTTGTGTAATCGACCTGTTTTTGTCAACACTGCGAGATGAACTAATCGAACTTCTTCCGAACAATTGAGGTAAAACGTGGGCCGTGCCAGGAATGATAATCTGTATTTACTCTACAAAGGCAGCGGAGGAATTGGGCCAGAAGCAGCTTGATAAATATGGACGCTTGAGTTTGCCCCGCAAGGTTTCAATGAAGCTACTTGTTTCATATTTTTTCAACATATTAGACACCAGTTTAGCCCCCCGTGTGCTCGTGCTGTCTGGAAGCCAAGCAGTTCTTGTTTCAGAGCTGAAAGGTTACTGGGATGGTACAGAAACTGCAAATTGGTTTATGTCCTTATTATGTGCATACATAATGCAACCTAGATGCCAACTAAAGCCAAAGGTCAGTGAGTAAGGAGAGAGAAATCCAGTGCTGCGGGACAAATGATTAGGGGGTAAAAAAAAAGAAAAGGAGACCATGTAATGAGTAAGCGTCTTTTGGCAGAGAGACAGACCAGCTGTGCAAGCCCATTTTCAGGTGTGGGGGCAACCCGGGCTGCTCGGCCCCTTTTTTTTTGTAGTTTTTTTTTGTTAAAGAACTGCTTGTTATTTCCAGCAACCACTGTTACGTTCTGCCCCCTTGTCCTACCCATTCGCCACAGTAAGTAATTAGACACGGGCCTCATTATGTAGACAAGTTGCTGAACTATTTTAAGGGGCTGTTTTCATGAGTAGCTCCACTTCTTTCTTTCTTTATTTTTTATTTTGATCAACTCGCTGACATGCAGACAAAAACAGTCAAAGCATTTAATTTGTCATGTGTTTGAATGGAGAAAAAATTCCAACATCAGATATTATTGGATCAGAATGGACAACTTTTGCTATTGTTTGGCTATTGTCTGGCTCTTTGTTAAACAGGACTGTGTCATGTCATTGGAGATGAGACGTCACGAATGCTTTACCACAAGGTAAATTTAGCTGCCGGGTTGGGACCAAACGAGCAAGCAAACTAGCCAGCAGTAATTTTCCACCGTCTGTTACTTCGCATTTTAACGAGGTGGATGGATCAAGACCTCGTTTTGGTAAAGGGCCATTGGTAGAGCAGCTTGTTTTGCTTTAAGCGTGCTCAGCTTATCTCATCAGTAATGGTCACTTACCAGACTGTCTGTTTCCACCCAATTTTTCCATCTTAATGCCTTTGTTTTAAATGGCCCTTTTCCCGCCTCAGTGGAAAACAGTTAAGTTGCACAGAAACAAGGTGGTGTTGAGATTGAATTGTCGGGAAGCCGAACCCTTAGGCGGCGTTGCTGATTGCTAGACGATGATTGAGCTGCAGGGTGGACATTTAGCAGGAGTGGAATGGGCTTCATTCTGCAGAGGGAGTCAACTGTGTGTGTGTCTGCATATTTTTGTAACAGTTGATCTGGTTTTAAGGCAAGTTGCCCTTTGGCCCCTGGATCTGTGTATGTGTGCATCTGTACACGAAGGACCCTCAGTCTGAGAACAGATCTCTGTCCAGCTTGTTGTTTGGTTATACTTAGTTGAATAGTGGTATACGTTTTGTTATTTATTTTATGTGTACTCTCAAATTGTTTATAGACTCAAAAATAATAGGATAAAATAATTCAAGTTGATTGGTTAATATCTTGCAAGCTGTCTTGCAAAAGGTTTTTGCATTTACTTGATAGATTGCTTTCAGATACATAGGATGAATTGAGTAATTACCTCTTCTTTCTTGAATCTTTTCTTATAAAAAAAACCCAGTGTATGTCTTTGCAAGTCCTTGTTTAATACTTTCTTCTTTTCAGCATTTCTCTTTGGTCTCATTCTTTAATGGTATTACACACACACACACACATACACATACTCGGGGTTATGGTTTTGGTGGTCTGAGTGGAATATGACTGTGAAGGGTGTCCTCCCTCCCGGTTATTGCTTCCCCATTGTCCACTGGCTTTGTGTGCTGGGGCTTTTTGTGTCAGCCTGGCTGGAATCACCCTGTTTGCTGTGATTAAATGGGAGCAGAGGAGGTTGGGGCGGGGGGGTGGGGGGGCTGAGCTGAGCCGTGCCTCTTTTAGACTGAAGGAATGTTGCAGTGCATACTGCAGTACCTTTAGCTGTACATCAACCATTCTAGGGACACAAAACATCCCTGCCAGACAAAAATGTGTGCATCCTTATCTCCCTTTATTTAGATAGATCTTTACTTGTGTTTATGTAGTTTTTAAACTCCACATTTCCAATTTAACAGCATTTTCCTCCTTGCTGAAATCGTTAATTACCAAATCAGAGCTTAAGATGCTGTTTATCTGAATCCACACTTTGAAATGTGACTAATTGATTATTAAATGCACTTGTTAGGTCTTATATTAAAAGGAATAAGATAAGTATTATCAGGTCATATCTAATTCCCTTCTTGAAACAGACAAAATTTCCACAGATAACCAGTCAAATACAGGTTTGACCACCAGCTGAAAGGATGAAATGAGCAGTTCTTAGTTTAAGCCATTAATACTGTTATTTTTTTAAATTCTTTTATCACATGAAAAGCTAAAAGACCCAATTTTTTTTTACCATATCGACCTCCTCGTTTTTGTGCGTCGTCAGTGTTAAAGTGGATTGACTGACTGACCGTTGAAGATTTTAGTTCATTTATGGAACTTAGCACAGTGTAATATCTAAATCGTGACAGACCCATATCCATTCTGAGTGGATATGATTGTTGGGCACTGAGCTCTCAAAATGAAATGCAGAAAAATGTTTCTTTAAAATAGTGTGATCATATTAAACCTGGCTGGTTATTTCGAGCCCCAACCCACCCCCGGCAACACGCATGCAGGAAAAAAAGCCAACAGTTCTTTCTTTCTCTAGAGCTTTGTGCTGTTTTATGTGATAATGGTGAAAGAAAAATGTGCTGTAGTGTCAAAAAAAGAAGCAACTAGTGTACCCACCCTTATGGGATTGTTCACTAAGGCTGTTGTAATGCAGTCTGTTGAAGTATGGTCTGATTATAGAAAGACAGATTTCACAGGTATGATGTGCTCATTTCTCATATCTCCTTTCCTCTCCAGGTATTTGGTGATTATTATCACTTCCGGCATCGCACAGTGACAAAGAGATCGCTGTCAGATCACAGGGGAACACAAGTCCGTCTACAAAAAGATCCCAAGGTAAGAAGATTTTTCTTGGGGTGGGGGTTGCTCACAGCTCCTTGAGAGATTGTTGTGTAGATGGAATCAACACAATAAGTAAAATGGGGATAAAATGCTACTGCTTTGGGTTTTGTTGGTGGAACTTATTTTTTAAGAAATAGAGCGTTCTTAAAAACATATGCTTTGTGATTGCCCCAAAACCAAAAGGCAGAGATCATTTTGGTGGCATAATTGAGCTCTATCCTCCTGGTTTCATAAGTATTAATTCTGCTCATCATTCACTTGTCACAGTGTGTCCAAGATAGCAGGTCCTGTGATCAGCCGGTGCATCGATATGTTCGGTGTTTCATCCATTAGATCTGTGATAGTAAAATCATTTTCCAGAATGTATAACTTAGGTTAACTATTCACACAATTAGACCCGTAACTGGGGCAAAAATGTGCCTCAGGGCAAAGAGCCAAACCCCCATTCCTCACTCGTTACCTGCCCTTTCTTCTTCTTTTGGCTTTTCTTCCTCTCCCAGCCAAGGAAAAACGTCTCACGCTCACGTTGTCCTTTCTCACCCGAGTGTACCAAGCAGGGCTTGTTATTCTTCGCGAATGCTCCCAAGATAAACATATTCCTCCACGTCTGATCTAATGTTAGAATTCACGTTACCGCATTTTCTCTTTTTCAGCTGTATTTAAGGTTAGAGTGAACATGTCTTACTCTGCTGGGAAAAGTGAAGAAAGTGTGTGAGGGAAAACAAATCTGAAAAGAAAAGTTGTATTTTTGAAACATTAAGGTAATGGTCCATAATGAATCGTTATTTTACTGCGTGCCTTTACCATACATTCCTAACATACACATAAGATCCATGTATGTTGTTGGCTTAAGGATACTAAGGGAAGTGTTGGCTGAGCCATCGGCAGTGCTCTAAGAGAAAGATTGGATTTCACTGTCAGTCAGTTACCAACCTGTCTGACCTCCTGCTGTTTTCCATCGAAGCAGCAATTGACTGAATTATTTCACCTCTAAAGAACAACATAAGAAAAAAAGGCAATAAAAAAAAACCTCAGAAATGTCTGCTCTCTGCTGGACAAACTATAGCATGACTTTCCACTGCCCCTTGGCTGCTCTGTTTATTTCTTCTATATTCCTAATTATTATGTAATATCAGTGCCCCTGGGGCTCTTTGTCTATAGTTAGAGCAAAATGGTATTGATTAAATTCAGATGGCTTTTCCTCATCCTCAGCTAAATCTTCACCTGTGGTTCTCTCTTCAGAGCCACTCGGTTCTTAATTATACTGAAACAAAGACATAACAGCCTCTTTTTTTAAAAGACCTGATACAGCCGTTCATCTCTGACACCAGCTGCCAGGGTGAAAACTAATCACTGAGGCTCTTTATTCTTTTATTTGAACTCTCTTTCTCTCTCTGTGATCTCTGGAATTTATAGTAACATATTTGCATTGAAATTAGATTCAATGTCCTGTTTTTTTAATGAAGATATAATCACTTTGATACATTTCCATATAGTTCAATGCATATTTAAGAAAAATAATAAGAAGCCTTTATTGTCATTGTACAAGAATACAGTAGTAATAATAATAATAATAATACAGTATTGTGAGTCCAAAATATAGCTGTACAGGTGCATACTGAGAATTGAAGAACTTCTGCTGGGTTTGTTTGCCTGCATTTTAAGAACCGGCCCACCTCCCTCCCTGGGATTTCCTTTAACACTGCAGCTCCATTTCCTGTTGTTGAATTCCTTTTTTCCCACAGCAGCTCAGAGAAAGTGGACTGTTGCAGTTTCTGGTCCTCTTGCCTGCTCAAAAAGACTCTGCTCAACTTATAATTGACTTAATTTGGTTTTAGTACCCCCCCCCCCTTTTTTAAGGCAAGGCAGAGTTGCATATTCTGCAAGAGTTGCTAATCCCTCTGTGTTCTTCTTCCCAAAATCAATTCATTTATGTAACGGTGCCGCAATTAACATCGTGATCAAAGCTTTAAAAGCTGCAGATTATGGCAAATGTGCCTCACATTTTTATTAGCTACATAATTCCTTAGATAAATCGCCACAAATACATTTCAGATATGAGGTCTTACAAACTCTTAGGGTGCAGCATTTGAACCATCATAGATGAGGCCTGAATGCTATAATAAACTCTCTTTGAAGAGTGTCTAATTACTTCCAAAAGCAGCTGGACATGGGCCAGGTCTCACAGACTGAGGACAGAGTCCTGTAATGGGGCCTATTGAAGATTTAGCGTTTTGGAGCTATTTGCCACCTCCACTGCTTCTGCCTCTTCCTCCCTCTATTCGGCTGTTGCTGTTATTTGTTTCAGTGGACGTTTCATTTCACTTCAGAGTTTTTCCTGGTTAGAGGAGCTAAACGGAAAGAACAGGAAGACGCACCAACTGGCGCCTCAAGAGGCGCTGAATTTGTCACTTGTGAGAAAGTGATAATTTTTTTCTTTTTTTCTTTTTTAGAGCTCAAGGTAAAACAGCAGCTTTTGTAACGTTTGGAAAAGCTGTTGCAGAAATGAATCAATCTGTACTTTTCCTTTGCACTAATGATTCTGTATTTCAGGCTTTCCGTTGGCCTCGGGGAGAGGATGCTCTGTTTGTATAATTAAGGACAAAGCAGTGGGTGGGCAAGACGAGTAGGTGGGGATTCTGTTTGTTGGATTGGAAATGCTCTCCACCTAAACATGAGCTAAGGCGGTCCATTTTAACTTGAGCTCTTCTTTGTTAGATGCGAGAATGTGAAACGAACAGATTTTCGCATCCAAAGCCCATTTGAAATAAACACGTTGTCTCAAAACTTCTGGGATCTATTGAGCTTTGTCCCACACCATTGAAGAATTTCAAAAAGACACTTCTCATGAAAGCAGCAAAAAAATCAAAAAGGAAAAGAAAGTAAGAGTAAATGTTTGTCGCTGCCTAAAGGAGAAAATCTTTCATTGTGCTTTAGAAGTTTGGCGTTGAGAAATAGGACTTGGATTGTTCAGCGTCTGTGGACACACTGGTTTTACAGAACGGACCAGGCATTCTGTCGGTAAATGCTGTAAAGTGCCATCAGGAAGACAGATTTCTGAAAGTCTGCTTCCTCGTGTGAATATCTAAACGGCCCTCCCAGGGCGCTAATCCGATCTGTCATTTCTTTTGAAAAGAAGTGATGCAATCTGTAAAGTATTCATTGTGATTTATTTTCTTTTAAAGGACAACCAAAATAACTCTGAGTGTCATCAAGACAACTGGTTTTAGAAGTGTTTGGAACAACTGGTGTTCCTCGGGTGCCTAGGGCTGAAAGTAGATGGCAGCTTCTGCATGGGTGCTCATCTGTACGCTTTGTGTCTCTACACGGTGATTAAGCTGTCAATTAGTTACTTTGTAGTTTTTAGGTTGACCCAGCAATTTGAACCAGATCAGCCAAAGGGTAAAGCAGACAGAATAATTAGTTACTTCTTATAAATAAGTGGTGCTTTTTGGAGGGAAATTCAAGCATGACATTTTACTCATCCAGAAAGGAAAGTTGCTTATGTGTACAATCCAATTTGTGGAGCTGTGCTTTATGTTTCTCATACCTTCCTTTTCTTGTGAGAAGAGGCTTTACGTGTTTGGACACAATCACCATGGAAATGTCGCTCACAACAGACCCCACCCCCTGTACGTGTGAAACCAAAGTTTCAGATGTGATTGAAAAGCGGATAAGGAAATGGGAGAGGGGAAAACACATAGTTTGTCTGACGCACGAAAAAAAAAAATGGCATTGTCTTTTTTTTCAAATTTTTTTTCTCTGCTGCTCTTTCCTTTAAACAGAAATGTCAAATCTGTCATTTCTTTGTGAATGGGATCCTATTGTCCCTTTAAATAAAAAGGCCTGTGAAATGAATGATTGATTTGTTAAATATTTATTTCATATTTTAAATAATTTATTTTTAAAGATACCACAAGCTTTATTGACTTAGCTTTTCCTATATGAGCTCTCCCTGGACCTGGTCACAGACAGTTGTTGATGAAAATATAAATATTCTTTTGGAAAATCATTTATTGCAAGATGATATCCCCCTTTGATGTATTGTCTTGTTGTTATCTGAAAGAAGATCTATCAGCATGAAGTGCGGCTGCAACATGACAGAAGGCTTCGGGTTTTCATTTGTGGTGGACAAGAGTTTTCTTTTTTCTTTCTCTTTATTTTTTTCCAAAAGAGATTGTCAACACAAGCACAATGAGAAAGCTGAATGTCAGTTTTCATTTGTTTGGACGTGTTCTTGATGCCTTTTCTCTTCTTAGCATGCCTTCTAAAGAGATTGTCAGATTCAGCCTTGTGTGAAAGTGTTTTCTGGTTCTTTCCTCTCCGCAGTGATCTGCTGGGTACAGATGAGTAGTCATTTCCTCTCACCTAACCGAGTACGCACGGATGTCTGCTGTCAGAGGGAAATTGAACGTAGATTATGAGACTTATACAGATCTATTTTTCAGCGCACAGAGCACTTATCTTCTCTCGTCTTAGAGTTGAAATGGGAGCCGCTGATTGTGTTAGAGCAGCCACTGCGTTTTGGCGTGTAAAGGGCCACAGTGACGCCTCACAGGGCCGACCTGATCTTCTCAGTGTGAGACGGATCAAAACATCTCCTCCACTTACTTTGATTCAACTCAAATACAAATCTCTCAGCCCCTTTGAAGAGATTTTCCTCCATTACGGCTCCCCCCCCCCCGCCCCCACCTTTCTTTTTCGGAGCAGGTTATTTTGGATGTTGAACTGGCATCGCTTCAGTGTAGCAGTTCACGACCTTCATTATTTCTCTTTTCCCTCTCTCTTATGTCTCTAATGATCTGCCGAGGCAGAGAGGGAAAGATGGACGGAAAAAGAAGGACCTGCTGTGCTTTTAGTTGTCCTTCACATCAGCTCCTTTGTCCTTGTGGCAGGCAGCTCTCGGTCTTCCTTCTTTTACATGTTTTTTTTTTTCTTTGTGTACTGGATGGTTTGCAGTACAGCAGGCACTATTCAGCAGAGGGAACATTATGCAGGTTTACCTTCACTGCATGAGTTCTGCCTTTGTCGACGTTTAATTAAAACCTGCTGCAGCCTGGCTTTGTGTTGTTCCGTTAAGTGTGCTGGAGTTGCCCCCTTTTTGTTTGTAGTTGGGTCACACACACGTTTGGCTGTACCTGTGCTCAATAAAACTGGTGCATTCCATTTGGCCCCAGCCAAAAATTTTAATTAGCCTCGGCCCGCTCTGGAATTCATCAGCAGGTCTCATTAGCGAGAAGTCCGCGAAGCCCCAGTGCCTCTAATCTCACCCCGTCAGCTGTCATCCCACAGAGAGTTGGGATCTCAAATAATCCATTTGACATAGTGGCACTCGTGACCGGTTCATGATTATTTCATGAGCTTTCTTTCCCTTAAGCGGAATGAATGTCACTTTTTTCTTTCTTTCTGAAGTTATGTTTATTTTTCTGTATTTCTAATGTTTTTGTGTTTTCACATTCTCTTTTCCCAGGTGACCTGGGCAGAGCAACAGGTGGCAAAGCGGAGGAAAAAGAGGGATATCTTCGAAGACCCTTCTGATCCAAAGTACAGAGAGCAGTGGTACCTGGTGAGTATTAACAGAAATGTGATTCAACGTGCTTGTATTGTGCCTTTTGTCGGTGTCGGTGAGACACAATTCAGTGATGCCTCCTACATTACCTCCTACATTACCTCCTATTTACCTATAAGTAGAAATTGATGTATAATCTAGAGCTGTAATTCATTATAGATTTTTTCCTGTGGATTCCTGTTGACTTTTTCTGTCCCAAACAAGATGCATAAGAAGCCTCATTGACTTTAAAAGCACATTTGTGTGCACCAGTGTTTCTGAATTCCAGATGGCAGGCTTTTAGACCTGGGTCTTTTAAAATGTAGTCCATAAACAGCACAGTAACAAAGGAAGAAAGCATAGTTAGACAGGGGTGATTAATCTCCAACTGGTCTTGTTTTTATTCGATTGATTTTCACGTTTGACTTTAGCAATGCCACTGATGCACTGGCCTGTTAGAGGCAGCAGTAACAACTCCTGAGACTTTCTGCTCAACTCCACTTTCCCTTCATTACTGTGAGCTTGCTTCAGGCAGGAGAAGATTCATGGTGATGCAAAACAGGCTCGCATCATCAGTTTTTCAAAACCGGCTGTGCTTTGCTCCTCGTGTTTGAGTACGTAGCGGCATCCCAACAAGGAAACCGAAAACGCGTACCGGAGAACGCTCCCAACAATTGGCATGTTTTCTACAGCATGAAAAAACATTTCGGTAAACTTTTCCATTCGTTTTGGTTATTGGTTGACCTAATAGCCTCTTCAATCAAAACCTAATTAATTCCACTAAATGCCAAAGCAGTGGGAGTTGTGCACCCACCAAATATCTTTATATACCTCACATACTTTCAGACATACAACGATTGTTGGGAAAGTGTCAGATTGTGGCAGGAGTGTGGTGATGCACTCATACTGCATCCGATCTGTTAGGGCCTCATTAAAAGTACACCTGGATAGCCTGAGGAGATCATGGGTGAGTCTGTTAGCGGGGAGCCCTTGATGGACATACACTAATGATCATAGTTTTCTACTGGAATGAATACTTAATATTTACCGACTGTTTTTCTTCTTGATGAAACAGAAATGAGGAAGCAGATATCCATCCACCGATAGATCATTACTGAGACTTGAAGCGCAAATGAATTCAGTGTGTTGGAAGAATGCCGGCATCCAGGGGAGCACAGACGCACGCACTTGATGAGCAATATTCAAAATGAAAGTCAACCACTAAAGAGTTTTTTCAAACTGAATCATCAATGCAAATAACAACTCTAAGCTTTAATTAAGTTTCTTCTCCTTGGTGGTTTTAGTGTTAGTGATGTTACAAGGTTGTAAAGTAAACTTAATTCTGTCCGACAGGCCCCCCTCAAAAAGTCCTGAATTCGAAGAGGAAAAACCTGTGAATAGCAACTAAGAAACATTACATTTTAATGGCAATCTTTGAAACAAGGAGCTTTGAACTATTACAGGGCCAGACATGGCTTTTAATAAAAGGTCAAGTTAAATGTCAGAAAGACTTTCAGAAAGCCTCCCGAATGACTACTGTGTGCCATTATCCTCTCCACTGTTCGCTTTGATTGGTACTTCTAAGGGTAATGAGGGCAAGCGTTTTGGAACAAAGATGCTTCTTGCATCAAATATTTCAATGTAGGAGTTTAAAAGCACCGTCTTTAGGCCTGGTGCCTTCATTAATCATTCTAATCACAATTCATGGGCTTTTTCTATCCTCCCAGTACAACAGCAACCACCGTGACTTAAACGCAAAAGCTGCGTGGGAGTTGGGCTACACGGGCAAAGGTGTGGTGGTGTCCATTTTGGACGACGGAATAGAGAAGGGCCACCCCGACCTGATGCAGAACTATGTGAGTATGTCTTTGTTTGGGAAACATTGTTTTGCCTCGCAATGAGGTAAGACTAGATTTATACCACCTAATGTAACTTAGTCTTTGGTGTTTAATGATATCAGATACTAATGCATTATCCGCCCCTCTCAGGACCCGGATGCCAGCTATGATGTGAATGATGGTGACCCAGATCCACAGCCTCGATACACGCAGCTTAATGATAACAGGTAGAAGTTCACTCAGATAACATTTGTCATCTTCACCCTTCTGTTTTGACCTTTGGACTTCCCTGAAAGAAACTCCTCTAGTTCCCGTAAATGTTTGCTGTGAGGGAAATTTATCAAGGTAAAATTATACTTGCTCAATTCTCTTTCCCCTCTTTGCTATCTGCTAACATCGATCAAAGTCCAAATAAACCTCTGACTGCTATCTTCCAGGAGACACAGCTCCAAATTTACACAATTCTAAAAACAGGCCTGCAACTGTTTTTTTCCCCCCCTTTTTCTGAAAACCATATTTGCAAAGTTAATGGGTCCTCCTGCTGGACAAACAATAGGGTAAACCGCTATTGGATAGAAGCAGTGTTTATAAGCCTGGTCATCGGCAGATTGTGTTGGCAGTTGTTTATCACCACCGTGGTGCCTCGCAAAGAATTATATTAAATTATGTTCATCAGCATTAATGAAACAGCAAGTCTCACGGCTCTGAACGGCGCCTGCTTGTCTTCCTTCATTCTAGCCGCCTGCATCATACTCACTTTAATTTCTGATTTGCAGTAAGCTGCTATTTGTGTGCTGCTGGCCTAAGAGGCTTTTTTAACTTGGGGCTCAACATGATTACTGATGATAGGCAAGAGAAGATTACATTTGGGGATGGTTGCAGCTCAGCATCTACTACTAAAACACTTCCAAGGATTTGGGATTGTGATTATGAGGTCACAGGTTTATAGTCTGCACTACGGAATGGCCCAAATATACTGTAACTATCCCACTAAAAATACTTAAGTTATTTTGGGTCAGAGCACACAAAGTTGGGACTGAAAGTTTTGAGATGGTACACTTAATCCCCACTACGTTATGAGAGGAATTAAAATAATGTACTGGTCTTGAAAATGAGCCTGCCCCCAGGGTTAGGGGAAAATATCTTAAATGGTCAAATTTCTTGTGGGAGAATGTGGGAAAGCATCCGTCAGGTGCAACCCCATGTATCTGAAATCTTTGCCAAAGCAGGCTTAAGAACCTCTCCTGGTTCTCCATGGCCCAGAGCCCAGCTAATTCTCTTCTTATGGGAGGTTTTCCTCTTTTGGATGTGTCTATCTCCAGCCCTCACAAGGATCAGCTCTTATCATGAGCCACCCAGCCCTCTGTGTCTTGCCTTTACCTGGATGATCTGGGCAGGATAGGCTCCGTGTGTGTGTGTGTGTGTTTCCCTGGCTTTAACAGCGGAGTCGGTGCAGATGCATGTGTAAACAACCTCTGGGAGAGCATGAAATGGCGTATGGTCATGTGAGACTGTAAGCGTCTGTTCTCCGCTGAAAGCCTGACTCTGTTCACCTCCATAAAGCTGCCTTTCTTCCCAAGCATACGGGCAGCAGTGAGGACCATTCACCCTCATGTTTATCTTAAGCAGCATGCGATCTTGATGTTTCTCTTTCCAGGATTTTCGTGGACTCCTCTTCCAAGACACTTCCCAAGTGTGCTCTTTGTGTATGAAAGTGTGGCAGTCTCCGTCTTTATTTCCCCTCAATTGAGTTTGGGGTCAGCTATAATCTGATCGAGGAGGTCACAGTCGCTTCCGTTCACCCTGGTCGGTGATCAGGCAAAGTTGAAATGAATGAGCAACTACATAGATAAATGATTAAATAGAACATCAAAGAGGACAGTCCAGACTGACCATTCATCTTTTCTGAAGCATCCAATACAGGATGAAAGGACCTATTTAGCACGGATGGCAGCAGCAAGCCGGTAAGGTCTGACTGGTAGAGTGTACATTCATTTTCCTGTGGGCATTTACCTCACACAGCCCTCTTTAGTGTGCTCTGTAAAGATCACCAGGGCTGGCCTGTCGGTTAGGCCAGCTCATTAGTTAACTGGCAGAACCATTAATGAACTTAAAAGTAAGCAGAGCAAAACAGTTGTTCAGATTTACCTCTGAGGTTCAGTGAAGCCAAGAGAATATTGACCTGCAAATGCCAATGTCAGCAGTCTGGAGAACCTCAGTGATTTTTCTGTTGTGTAATTAAGCTATTGAAGTTTTTTTTTTTAAAGTGTACATGCCTGACTCTGAAGATGAGGACGGGCTGAGGTTTATACACAACACAACACTGTAGCATTAATGCACAGAGGGTGTTGTCAGGGGAGTTGGATGTTGGATGCTTTGCTTCAAAGATATTCCTTAAAGAAGTAGTAATTTAATAAGTGACAAGTAATAATTTTACCAAATAAAGCTCCCACAAGCGGTGGGAGCTTTATTTGGATCTTATTAGATATTACCACTTACATGTAGATGATGGACTTTTAGGATTATGGTTTGTGTACCCCATGGCGGCTTTAGAAGTTTAGATAATAAACCCGCAAAAAATAATTTTTGGGTATTTGCTTTTTCACGTCTCAGAGTCGTGGTGGAGTGGAAGGGAATAGATTTACAGTTTGAGCATACCTGAAAGGGAATTGCATTTCCTCAAAGAAGTTATTCATTTTTTGTACAGTGGGGGTGGTTTTGCCAGCTTTGAGTGTGCATACGGAGCATGTTATTGTCCTCCAGCTCTCAGCCAACTATAGCTGTTGTAGCCAGAGTCACTCTCTGTGCTTTGAGCCTGCCGTGGGGCTTGTTCGTGCTCTACTCAGAACCAGCCCGTTCACTGCAATTTCCTGTGATCATTATGTACGATGCAAGAGGCCTAAATCCACGATTTCCAAGAAACAAAAGGCAATTTGAAGTTTTGGCTGGAAAAAATGTATTTTTTCGCTGAGAAGAAGCTGGGGCATAAAAGTGCTTAAGCACAGACCTGTTTTTCAAGCTGTGACAGCTGTCACAAGTGTGCAAAGGCCAACATTTGTGCTGTGAGCAGAGCAGGTACGGGCAGTAAAGTGACTTGCATCATGCTGATGCCCCGGTGTCAGAGGCATCCACAGTAATTGACTCTTGCATCACCAGTATTTGGTTTGGTCTGCTGGAAGCTCAGCTAAATTTGACGGCTGGATCATCCTTTGTGCCGAAGTTCTGCAGGTTCAGACACGACTAGTTCAGGAAAAGTTCTTTGAATATAGAGGAAAGGAGCAGGCAAATACAGAAACTCTTTTTAGTACTGTTTTTATTCATATTGTATTTATTTGAGAAGCATTTCCTGAATCCTTTGTGTTTGTTGAAGTCCTTGTAATATTGAAAGCAAACACGCCTCCAGGGTTGTCTGCAAAGCAATCAAAATAAACATTTAAGCGTTGAATGGAAGAAAAGGTTAGCTAAACAGTCTTATCCTTCTTATATCAACCAAATTAGAGCTGACCCGGACAGAAAATGATGGGATGTTTTCTGAAGAGCTGGGTGCAGTTGGTTGGTAATTAGAATATTCAGTCGTCTAACTTTAACAAGTGATTGAACCCTTTTACGCTTGTAGTTACAGACAGCTCTTTGTTCCGGCTAACAATGCCCGCTTCTCTGGTGCACTTCCTGTGATGATCTCCCGCTCTATGCCGTCACCTCTTTAACATCCCTTCCAAATTGTAATCCCTGAGTTCTGATGCAGCTCATGTGCCGTGATGCCTTCAGTTGTGTCAGGACATCGGTAAAATAAAAGTTAGGAGCGGTCAGCGAGTCTGCGATTGTGGCTCCATTCACGGCTTGCTGTCAAAGGACTAGTTACCCCACTCACGTCAACACTGGTGACTGCTCATGCTGCTAGCAGGCGTTTAGCTTATAATGAAATATGCAGGCCTCTTTTATGAATTGGGATTTGGCTTAGAATAATATACTAAGCATTACTGTTTTAAATTGGTGTCAATTAGAAGGTAAAACCTGAGGATCAGGTTGACTTGTTTTGCCATTTTAAGGGTAATCTTTAACCAGTGTAAATAACTTCTTATTTCTCTGCTGAACACACAAAATGTCTTTTTCCGTTGGGACTGGTTTCTACCTGGATCTTCTCATCTACCAGATAATCCTTTCAAGTCCAGGGATTAGTGTAATTAGCTCGTTGCAGCTACTGTGGAGACGCGTTGGGAGTCTGCAAAAACATTTTCTGAAATCTAGATAAATCGAAAGTCTTCATCCTAAACTCATGAATATTTTTGTAAAATTTCAGCCCTGTACCCATGTGGTGAAAGAACATGCTGATACTGTAGAAAAAATCCCCCTAAATCACTAACTCCTGTTGGTCAGAAGGAAATACTTAAGGAGCAAGCTCCTTTCACAACCAGCAGACACATTTCCGCATTTTTTTATTTGACATTTAACAGTGCAGATAATGCAGCATTAGATTCACCTCCAACAACCTTTTTATTTTCCCTAATTTATCGGTCAGTCATTCGCATGAATGCAGTGATCTAGATGAAAAATTGGAAAAAGGTCCACTGACCATGAAAAGGTGAGGCCTGCCCACGCCTGGCATTTTACTGCAGGTAGCATCTCCTTATCAGCTGCGTCACAAACACAAATTCATTAAAATGTAACAAAAGCCAGCAGACCAGTATTCTTAGGAATTCTGTGATAAGGTCGGCCTTCAAATCACCCCATGACATTTATGTGTAAGTTTACTTTCTTTTTGTCAATCGATACATCTATCAAATGTATCTTGAGGTCTTCAAAATGATTTAATTGAATTAATAAATCATCTGTTGGGTTAGGTTTTTTTTTATTGTTTTTCAAACAGCTCAAGATGAAAGTCAGGTGGTACAATTCAGAGCTTTTTGGTCAAAACAGCACTTTTGGCAGGCTTTAAAGTGGATCACAAATGAAATATCCATTGCCAGATTTGAAATGCAGTCCATTTCATCAGTGGCTGCTGTTTGGATTATTTTGTCTTGGTTTGGCTGGTCACCCGCTGTACCTCGGTGGAGGCGTGCTGGCTTACAGAGTCTCCTCAGCAGCGAACAAGCGGCTCTGGATCCAGCACTCCTGCGTGGCCACGCGCTGGCTGCAGTCCAGAGGGACTGGCACTGTGGTTTTGAGGGCATTAAGGGTGCATGCATATCCAGCTGGCAGGCCTAGGAATGTGATCATCAACCCCCCTGTAATAGTGTTTTTGGACCTCCACACTGCTGTGCCTGGAGCTATATTTTACGAAAGAAGCTCAGGCTTAATGAAAATGGATCATATTACCTCACAAGTTTCCTTGTTTTTTTATTTAATTTAATTTCCCTTTTGTCTGAAGTTTCTCTATGCAGCTAGACTGATGTCCAGAAAACTGGGGAGATAATGATCAGTGGATTGTGCAAATTGGTCTGTTTTTGTGTCTTTAAAGGAATTTAGAGCCTGAATTTGACATATTTCCTGGATTCTTTTAGTCTTAGTTTGTAGTTTAACCACTGTGCACGGTTGAGCACATTGTGTAATGCAGCAGCTATCAACTATCAGTTAAATACACTCTTTCATGCTGTTAGGAGAATAACATGGAGATATATTTTTTTCCTTTTTCTCATTCTTTGTTCCAGACATGGAACACGATGTGCAGGAGAGGTGGCAGCCGTGGCCAATAATGGGATCTGCGGAGTCGGCGTGGCCTACAATGCTAAAATAGGAGGTACGTTGTGGATGAATGATTTGATATCACAGAGGTAAATCTGAGTTTTTTTTTCTTGACTGCTACAGCAGCTGAAATACTGGTCTTGCAGTGTTTTTTTTCACTCCATTTCTCTGGAACAGGGTGTCACTAAATCTTTTTAGGTGTCACAACAGTCGTGCTGCTTGTCAGCGTTGTAAGTGTATTGGTTTTGCATGGAATAACAGCTCTGAAATATAGGTTCCAAAATGACTCAGTGTCATAGCTCTGATTAAGTCTCCTTTGCTTTAGCATCACACCCTTTTTCTCATTTTGTTTGCATGTTAAAAAAAAAAAAAAAAAAAGCTGTTGAAGCCTCATCTGCTGTGTGGACAAATAGTTTAAACACATTTCAGCACAAAACCCACACCAGCATCAATTATCAGCTGAACCAACGCCTCTTATGCGTTTTTCAGCAAAAAGTCAGAGCCACAAGCTTCTTAAGGACCGAGCTTGTAGGGCGAATGCAAAGCACCTGGTTTGAGATAATCACTGTTGTAAAGCCAGGTCTCAGACAGGCTGAGGTCAAATAGTTCTAATACATGCTTTGGAGGCTGTTACCAACATCTTGACACAACTTTTTGGTTGCTGTTATGAAATGTTGCAACCCTGACTTGAGCAAGGACTTTATGTTTTAAATACGCTGCGTAGCTGTTCAGGAAATGTAGTCAGCTGAATGTAGTCATGTAATTCTGAAACTCCAATAAAGAATTTAGGGGTGTACTTTTAATTAAGATTAGTGGTTTGGTAAACCCTGTTGAGCTGAAAGACCCTCTTTTAACTTTGCTGGATCACTGTGTTAGTTTAGGATGAACTTGGTTTGAGTAATTTCTAATCCACATTTTGGATTAAATTGGGTACTAAGCAGGATCAGACTTTCTTTCAATTTAGTTCTTTTTATGTCCCAGACAGAAAACTTAAACCAAAACAAGATTCTACTGTGACCAGGAAAGATATTGAAAGTTAATGTCTGACACTGAAATAAACTTTTGATAATTGCAGTTTAACAAAAAGTAATCTTAAAAATCTGCCTGTTTTCAAAGAAGCAGTTTAGTGTAAACACGCAAGCATAGTTGAATGTGAGAATCATTATCACATCAGTGTCTGCTTATTAAATGTGAAGCCATCGCCAACACCACCCTTTTTCTTTCACTTTTCTCATATGAGATATGTGTTGATTAGTAGGACGTAGACGTGTTTGTGATTATTTATTCTTTTTTTTTAAAGAGTCAAGGTGTTTTTCCTGTCTCCCTAAAGTGAGCAAGATTAAAAGCAGCTGTGGTAAAATAACTACGATTGCTGGTAGTATTTCAACAGAGTGGACTGTCCACTATAATCCATGAACAACTTGTTCCAGTAGCCCAGCACCAGTGTTTACTGGTCCGTCAACAATTGACATAGATTTTATTAATCCAGACTACATTTGAGCCGGCATGACTTCAGTTCTCTGGCTATTGCTCATGTTAGTCAGAATGGTCTTACAGGCAGAAGTTGATCCTATGTATCAAGGGAAGGACAATACTACTCCGCCAACCTGCCAGCCTCTATATAATATTATATTCAGTATAAATCTTGGGCCCAGGTGAATGTAACAGATGGCTTTTTGGACATGTGTTCTTTCCTCTCACTGAGGCAGGCTGCCATGGAGAAACAGCTCAGCGCCTCCTTCGTGTTTGTGGGGAACTTCAAAGGGATGGTGCAGTGTGGAGTAACTTGACCTGCCACATCTCACTGGAGAATTTTAGTTTGTTTTAAGGCATCTTTGATTTTTTTCCCTCCTCCAGTTGCTGCCTCTTTGTTGGAATGTTACTGAGGACTGCTTCAAGATAACTTTTAAGTTCTGGAAGAAATAATTAGTATCTGACTGTGTTGTGCAGTAGTTTTTTTTTTAAATCTTTGCATTAGTGCTTATCTACTATCACTTTAAATACACCTTATAATGACTTTTAGTGTAAGTCTGCACCCAAACGTTGGCTGACTTGTTTATAATATTAAAATTAAGAACATGTCTGATCCAATTTAGCTGCACAAATTTCATACAGTGGAAGTCAACTAATGTTCTCTTTCATCTCCGAGATGAATTTTAGTCTCAGAGGTCTACTTCACGCTTGAGGAGATGGTTCACCCACAATTCAGCCAATCTCATTCCTTTTTATTTATTTATTTTTCAACTAGCTCAAGCTCAGAAGAAAATCAATTGAGATACTGTTTGATTTACAAGGGAAGACCCATAATAATATCACAGGGGGTGCTCAGACAAAGAGCGCCAGAAGCAGAATGGACTTTGCAGTACTACAAGCTAACATGTAAATATGCGAATGAAACATTTTTGGCTTTGTTTTTGTCCCTGCAGCTTCTTGCGAACACTTTCAAGTGAAACATCTGAGTAACACCGCCCCATATTCACTGAGACACAAGCTAATTACAGGGCTCAGCAAAACTGTCATTACCTCTTTGAAATGTGCATCTTCAATGGCTGCCATTTGCTCTTAAAAAAAAAACATCATTGATTTAGCATACAGACATTGTCGATTTCACATGTGAATAAAAAACATTTTCAAAATGAATTGTGATGAAAGTGAATTATCAGCTTGGCGCCCAACGGGCCCGGCTTCAGCGTGACTCATTCCCATATTTGCTTTTGCAATCATGAAGCGATTCAGAACAACAAAAACGACTGCTGATATAATGAAGAATACTGCAGAGTGGTTGCAGGGAAATTCAATATTGTGCGTGTGTGTGTGTTTTTGGAACCTGGCTGCAGGCGTGCGTATGCTGGACGGTGAGGTGACCGACATGGTGGAGGCCCAGTCTCTCAGTCTGAATCCCCAACACATCGACATCTACAGCGCTAGTTGGGGCCCAGAGGATGACGGCAAAACGGTGGATGGACCTGCCAAACTTGCGAAGGAAGCCTTTCTGCGGGGAGTCACTGAGGTGGGTGCATGATTGTGCGATTGTTTGCGAGAGACTAAATTATTTACTGCCTGTGTGTTGCTTCCTTTCAGCAGTAAGTAATTGAACTGCCCAAGCATGAGGGAACACAAGCGGGAAGAACAAAGCAGTTTTTGACCCTGACGAGTATGAATGGGAAGAAATGCCCTCTAAAAACCACCAGGGAGGAAAATCTAGGAAAATTAATAGAAGTGCCGATGGAAATGAATATTCATTTTGTTTCTTAAAAACTTGGGTACTTAGACAATGTAAATGTTGTTTCCCCAAGTAATCTGTTTTGCTTCTACTTAAGTTTAACTTGTATGCTGCCATGTCAACAGTCCTGTTGTTTGTTTTTAAAGCATTAAACAATATTTCATATATTATAAGAAAATATAAAAGTACACAGATTAATAAGCACAAAAATCCCTCCGCCAGATCCTTGCTCATGGAGAAAGTTCCTTTCAGTTTGCTCCAACTCGAGCTGTATAGCAGTAGGATTCAAGGCATGTGCCATAAAGCTGATTGGAACCGCTGACACTAACGGCTAAGATAATTGGCACCGTGACAGCACTGTCAGATGGTGCGGGTGGTGTGTAGCTGGAATTGATCAGTGCAGAGAAAGACAGTACCACTCAATACAATAAAGCAGCTCTTAGATGAAAATCATTGCACTTCAAAGGCTGAGAGCTTGGCTGATTAATTACAATGAGCTGTTGTCGTTTTGTGCATTTTTGTATTGCGCCGCTGTCATGCGATATTTAGCTCTTTGCAATTTACTGAGTGACCACCCAGGCCTCCGAGATATATGCTGGATTTTAATGGGGTGTATCTGAAAGGGCCCCTTAAATGAATTTACCCTCCTGTAATTGGGATTGGTATAAAGGATTGAATGAGATTTTGTGTTCTGCAGTGTAGTGGTGATCTGTTGCATAAGTGAATGAAAGGACGTGTCGGTAAACCCCCCCCCCCCCCCCCCCCCCCCCTGTCTAAATGTGGTGTACTCTCTCCAGGGTCGTAGCGGTTTGGGCTCCATCTTTGTGTGGGCTTCTGGGAATGGAGGAAGAGAGAAAGACAGCTGTAATTGCGACGGCTACACCAACAGCATCTACACGCTGTCCATCAGCAGCTCCACACAGAACGGCAACGTTCCCTGGTACAGCGAGGCCTGCTCCTCCACCCTCGCCACCACTTACAGCTCGGGGAACCTCAACGAGAAACAGATAGTGAGTCTTCACCGTGCGCAGTCCAGCTGTCTATTTTTGATCTTGTGTACAGTGCAGTTATAGGGACACCACAGCTCTTAGCTCCTCTGGAGAAATCTTTGCCATGGTACTGGATAGAAGAGTCCAGTCCTCAGTTAATGCAGGCTTTGTCTTGGTCATAAAGAGCAAAACCAGGTCTCTAACCAGTTTCGTAGTTCTAGAAGTGAGTGGGTGCACATTATTTCAGACTTTTAGAGTTTTGGAAAAGTCTTGCCTTGGAGTATGCTGGACAGATTATGTCTGCTGACTGGCTCGGGAACGCCTCACTGTCCCCCGCAAGAAGAGCTTAAGGGGATAAAGGGAGAAAAGAAGCTATGTTAAGACTGGTGCCCACACGACCCAGATTCAGATAAGCAGCAAAAAGATGTTTGGAAGGAAAACTAGTTGAATGATTAACCAGTTATCTACACAGAAGTACCAAGTGGAACATTTCAGATGAGTAGGTGGTTTTCATTAGGAAACGTTCTCTGCATGAAGCAGTTTGATTATGTTCCTGCTATCTGAATCTCAGAATGACTTTTTTCCAGTAGATTTTTTCCATTCGTGCACTTTTGGATCATTAAAATGATTAATATTTGTGGACAGCTGAAACTCCATTGAGCAGTTTGCTGCTGCTTAAAATTCTTGTCACAAGCACTAAATCTCTGTCACACAAAGACGGACACGAGCACGTACACGGCTGCACACACACACGCGGGCACACTCTTTCTCTTGCATGCAGTCTATTAGCCATACTAGCAAGACCGACAGCTTATGACATCCCTATGACATGTGGCTGGTCCCTTAATGTTCCTGTGATGTACTCCTTTAATTGTGCTGTCACTCATGACACTTGGAATGACAAGAAGAGCGGGTGGGATCTGGGGTTATATATCAAAGAATATGTGGATGAAGGTAAAGTTTTGGTTTTTTTTTTTCATTCTCATACCACACTAAGCTTCACTTTTTTATATAAATATGGCTATGCTCCTGAAACCCCTCTAAGTATGACAGTCCTTCTTCGAAGGGTTCCTTTGGTGCATTTGTAATTACAGAGTTTTCTTTTCTTTATTAAATTATCAGTTTCTTTATACAAGCACATTCTTGGATCCTGCCTCATTTATTATTCTGTCACTTCTGTACTTTAAGGGATGGCCTTCTTTAAAGGAATGATTTAGTTCTGCTTCAACTCACTTTGTATTCTTGCAATGGTGGAGATTCACATTTTGAAGCTGTGCTGTAAAAACCCAGTTCAAATATAGTCGTTCATTTAAAGGACCTTGGGTGAAGCAGTTCAAAGGAGAGCCCATGATTTCCCAATTTGATTTTCAAGCCGATTGGCTTTTTCTCTTAAGCTCCAGCTCGTTCACCCATTAGGTAATTTCTGCTTTTGAAAAATACCTTCAGCACAGGATAACAAACGATGATGTGTTTGATAATAATTTTTTTTTTTCTCATTTAAGTGTTTTCAGTGGGAAAGAAGCACAGTTCAGATACATGTTTTGGTATTTTGTTACAATTTATGCTCACAATTATGCAACTTTTTGAACATTTAGAATGAGGTTACAAAATATATAAATAGCTAAGTCCTTTGTGGTCTTCTTCTATAGGTGACGACAGACCTGAAATCAAAGTGCACAGACTCACACACTGGCACCTCTGCCTCCGCCCCGCTGGCTGCTGGGATCATTGCTCTCGCCCTTGAAGCCAAGTGAGTGCTTATCACTGTTCTCCTGTTAGCTCGCCCTTACCTTCCTCTGCTGCTATACATCTTTAATCTGACCTTTGCTTTTTCCTCCTACTTTTGAGTAAAATTAGATAAGCAGATTTAAAAGAAAAATGTTTGTTCTGCTTGTGCAAAACAGGCGTGTGAGTTTGTTCATAAAAAATTAAGGAGGAAGTGTGCCTATTCTCATGACCTTCTTTTATGCTAAAATATTTAGGGGAGGAAGAAGAAGCTAAAAGTAAATATCTTATTATCTTATTATCTTATCTTAAAGATAGAAATATTTAAATAAGGTGGAATATTTAGGTTTCTTTGTTAACCAAACTTTAAGATCCATTTTATGAGATCAAGCAGAAACTGCTGATGTTGCCTGTTTTTGCCTTAAATCTGATGGATAATCCCCCTGTTTTTAAAAAAAAGTATTTATTTATTTTAAATGTTTTTTATGTTTCACCCTGTCTGCCACATTATTTAACTTCGCTTTTACAAACTGAAATAATTAGCAACCAACTCTTTTAATTCATAATTGGTCATGCAGCACTAATGGAGAGACAAACATGAGCATCACAACAATCCAGGAAATGAGTAATTAGTCTTATGGCTGAGTGAGATGTGAGGAAAAAGAGCGCAATTAGTAATGAATTGAATGAGAAAAGGTTCCAGCAAAGTAACCAACTGAAATGCCTTCTCTTTTTCCACATCCACAAAGAGAATTTTGAATTTACAGCATGCTTGTGGTTAATCACATCCGAGAGGCAAATCCAACCCTGACCGCACATTAACTACGGAAGCACATGGACGCATGCACGGATACACATTGCATTCACTGAAAAAAAAAAGTTTGACAACTTGCTGCATGCAAGCATAACAACAATAACAACAACTCATGCATGTCTGCTTTAATTTTCCATGATAATGACGTGACATGAAAAAAGGAACAGCGCCACAGTCGTAAATGAACATAATAAAATTCTTGATTTACTTAGACATATGAATTTGAAGTAGAGGTGATTTAATCAATTATTTTCATGATGTGACTAGAAAAATGGCAACTGGAGACAAACCTGGGCCAAATTGTTAATCTTATAATTCATTAACAATTAACAACAATTATTATTAACAAGCTTTTAATGAAACTGCAGCCTAGTTAGAATATTTCCATCCAGATTTGAGCATTGTAGCTACTGTAGTTTCCATACATAACCCAGTTTTGAGTGATCAGAATGCAAAAAATGCAGTGAAGTTACCTTTTATGCCATTCGCGAATCGGAAGCTGTGAATCGAAAGCGAACTTCAACCTCGTTTATGCTAGCATGTTGTACTTACGAGATCTTTTCTCATTTTCACGATATCCTGATCTCGTAATTACGAGAAAATATCTTGCACTTTTGACAAAACACTTGCCAAAAGCAGGAATTCACTTCAAACACATTAATGAAAGATTTAAAGGAAAGAATGTGACAGGAGTGGGTTTTAAATCAACTGTCCACCTGCAGTTACAGTTTATAGACATGTTTTATTTTTAAAATTGTATATTTGATCTGCTTTAGTGGTTCTGCTTCATTCCTAAAGCACAGCCTTTGCATGTGCGTTGCCCTCTGTGTCATGACTGTGTGTGTTTTTTCTGTGTGTGCTTGAATATACAGCAAAAACCTGACCTGGAGGGACATGCAGCATCTGGTTGTACGAACCTCTCACCCCGCTCACCTGCTTGCCAGCGACTGGCGAACCAATGGGTTCGGACGCAAAGGTACACCAATTCCTCCCGCACCTCAATCTGCCCTCCTCAGGTGTTAAACATTACCGTAATATAATATAAATCCCCCTGTCTTTCAAAATGGGTGGCTCAAGAGCAGGATTGAGAAGTCTGAAATGTGAAAATGGGACATATGCACACAGCAGATGTGTCTCTAAAGCTGGAGTTGGGGTAGAGAGAGTCCAGCTCTGAGTTGGCTGACATTCCTCTGTTTAATCTTGGTTTCTGCAGTCAGTCATTCATATGGATACGGTCTGCTTGATGCTGGGGCAATTGTATCGCTGGCAAAGACATGGACCAACGTGGGGCCACAGCGAAAATGTGTGATCACTATCCTCAGTGAGCCAAGGTTAGTACTCTCTAATCATATCAGTGTCTATAGACATTATTAAGGGACCAATGAAGCTTGAACGTATTAGAACCAATAGGTTGTCATCAGTTGCTACACCAAAGTTAGTTAATTGTTCAGCATGTACATAACACTGGCAAATTTTTTATGTATGTTTGTTATGGTATGGAGAAAAACAGTATTGCAGCACTATAAAAACAACAGAAAAATAGATATATCTTATTGAGGTAAACATACATAATATACACACAAAGTATCCAGTACATCAGCACCATCCCTAAAACCCAGATTAAGATGAGGTGTCTCAGAAAATTAGCAAAAGAAAATTCCATTACAGCAAAGTAACAGTACACAGTACACAGAAAAGCACACGGCTACATTCATGAAGCAAAGGCATGCGAGAATAAGAAAGCTTTAAGTCTGGTTTCAAATGTAGACGCAGTTATTAAAGACCTCAGGTCAGACAGCAAGTTCAGTCGAGCTGAAACACAGTCACTTAAAAGCCCCCCTCCAGGCCTGGCTGTACGTCTATGCTCAACTAGAAAAACCTTCACCTTATGACCTTTTGATGTCTGGTTGGGACTTAGAGCAAAGGAATGGGAGACATACTGCAGGGCTGACCATAAAAGGCTTTATAGACTACTTGATGGATTTCGAATACTCTTCTATACTGATAAAGGAAGACAGTGTCCTCACTACTGGAGCAATATATTTAAATATCCATGTTCAAGGACTGTGGCCGCTGTGTTTTTAAATGAGCTGAAGTCACTATCGAAGCAGCTATCAAAGCAAAGCATGCCCCGAGCGTGTGCCACCGGTCAGCACAGAAACACACGCTTAAGCCTAGCTGCGGTCACAGCCTGACTTTGTCATTATATCGGACCAGCGCCCCTGCCTGTGTGTACTAGCAGGGGAATTATTGACTGCAACGCTGTGGATCGTGAGAAATGCTGAAAGTATTCAGCTGCTTGTCATTTCATTGTGGCAGTTCATAATTTCAGTGACGATTGTTGTCTGAGGTTATAAAACCGGGATTTTAGCAGAGCCGAGTGACTGTGAGTTGTCATGTAGTCTTAATTGTGAGAGTGTCAGTCACAGTTTGAGAATCATTAAGTCATCTGACAAAAAAAAAAAAAAACAGGACTGGGAGCAACCATAGGCAAAACTCTGCTATCTTAACAAAGTGGAGCCTGTTTGTATGGAGCATATATTTTTGTAGTCATAGATAATCTCTTTGTCGGATGTTTTGAAAATGATTGCAAGCAGTTACAATATTCTCCTTTTCCCCAAATAAATGTACATCACGTGGAGTATAAAAAACTTTTTTTCACTAAATAAGTGTGTTCTAGAGATTTCATGTTTTTAATAGCTTTTTTAGTCCCTAACAGTGACATGGTTTCTATTTCAAACTGATATTAATACCCACAAAGTTTAATCCATCTTTGGCTCCAGAGGAAATTGAAATGGATTACTGAAATGGTTATTTTTTTTGTAACTTTTTTAATGTAGTACTATAGTCAGGATGTTTCCAGCCAGTAAACTACATGGATAGAGGAATGAATAACCAAGTGTCATACCTTCATCGAAACAAAAATAAAAAAAAATCTGTTATAAAATTAGGAAAAACAGGTCGGAGTAAAGATCTGATCTGAAACAAAAGTGAAAACGATGGTGGGAAAGTAACGGTATGCTAATACATTAACTAACACAACCATCCCATAAAGAAACACATTTTCCTCTGTAATGGATTGTTGTTTTCCAGACGTTTAAGCTGTGATGAAGTGTCTTGATTTGATAAGCCTGCGTGTTTCAGTGGCAGTGAGTGAGAAGAGAAACTGACATCAAACTGGTCCATAACACCATGTCAGTGATGGAGCAGCCCGCTAATGACTGTGCTGTCAAGCCTCACTGAAGTCACACATTATGTCACCATCAATCTGCGGTCCCTGGACGCCTTTTGAACTGTCTGTCATTCTGTGTGCGTGTATGTGTGTGTGTGAGTGCGCGCATATGGATAATCCTTACGGGGTCCTTATCCTTACTGCAGGTAAACCCACCGTACAGAAACTGCTTTCCCAAGGTTAACATTTAGAGTGAGGCGAAGATAAGAAAAAGGGCAGACATGAAGTTGGGATGGGTAAGGTTAGAGAGAAAAGGATGGAGGAATGCATGATGTCACAGACTAAACCCCAAGGGAACAAGAGGATGAGGAGGTGTGTGTGTGTGCAGTGGTGCAGACAGCTTGACATGAGGCTTTTAAAAGGAAAGCGCTGATTTGTCTACTTTAAGGCTCAATATTTCATCTAAAATATTTTATTTCTTCTTTTATCTGGTACTACTGCCCAAACTAATTCTGACATCTCTTTATTATGCACTCCCAGGGTATTTGAGGTTCGTCTCCTTTACTCTGGCTATGAGATGCTCTGAGCAGATGGTCCAAACCTCTGTAAACTGCATCAACCCAGGTTATAAATTACATTTTAGGTGTTTAATTGACAAAATTATTAAGAGCGACTTTCTTTAAAAAGGCAGTGAGTTAGGAGGAAAGGCTTTGGTCTCTTTTATTACATTTAACAGTATGAGGTGTAATTTCATTAACAGATTATACTGTTGTTATGTTCACCATTACAGCCAAACAGTAGTGCATAATCAGTTTTAGTATTGTTCCGGAGCACTGGTACAGATTGCTCGGCTGACAATTACAGTGATTTATTACAAACACGGTTGGGTATTTAGTTGTATGATTTGAAAGGGGCTTTGAATGGCACTAAAAGGCATTTTCATGAATTTAAAAGTGACAGCAGTTTGCAGTTCTGTGAAGCAGAATTTACCTTTGGGACAGTCTATCAGTTTATATTAGGAAAACTGATATTGCCAAAGCCGGATCTACAAGCGGAAAATCTCACGTGAGCATGTGCCCAACAGAAAGAGGCATCAGACGGGCTTAATTTCAAATGGTTATCAGAGAGGTTTCCTGTTGTCTGCATGAACATTGAGTGTGACAAGCATGTAAGCATGTCTGCGCACTTTGTTCTCTGAGAGGGTTTAACAGGCTGTGCAAATTAACCACCGACAGCACGACGAAAAAAAAGCAAAACATTGAAAAATGAGGTAGGGAATGCGCTGGAAGCTCTCTTGTCGCTTTTCAACAGATGATTTATGATTTAGAAACACCCTTTTACTCATCTTATAAACCCAGCAGAATGCCGAGAAAAGCTTTGTTCTGGGTTGGCTCCCGGATAATTTTGCTTGCTCTAAAAAGCTTTATACACAGTTGATATAAATGTGTATTTATATGTTGAGTAAAATGGTATTCAGTGCATGAGATGTGCGGAAGGAATTTGATTATTGGTGCATATAAATCAAAAAGGACTCCAATCTCCTACTTCAAGACAGAGCCATGGAAATTGTAAAAAAAACTAAAAGCGCTCCCTAAACAAACAACATTTACATCTGCGCTGCAGGGACACCAGCATGAGGATGAACTACTGTCACATTCACGGCCACCAATAGGCCGCCTAGCACTGGCTGGTTTCCATTGGTCGACCTTGACAAGTAAGATCCAGGAACTGTGTGAGGAAAAAGTAGCTGAGGCTGCGCTTTAAAGAAAATAAATAGTAATCAACAGCAAAGCTAGTCGGTAGTGGTGTGTGCGCATGTGTTACGAAGGTTCACATAAATAGTAATTACACTCATCGGCAGTAGGGGGAGATGAAGGTTCTGCTGTGAATGTAAACATGTCATCATGTCAACATGTTCGGGTCAGAGCAGAAGAAGCTGCAGGTCTGTTTTAAGTCAGACAAAGTGATTGACGATCACAGATGGGAATTTTGCAGGTTTGTGTTTGGAGTTTGTGATGATTGAGAGGAAAGAAATAGGACATTCGTGCACAGATAATGTTGCAGAAACCCACTTTGTTTCAGTGTATTAAGGCCCGTTACAATTCGGACCGTAAGATGTTCCTAATTCTCCTCAGATCCTGAATGGCTGATGAATCCTGTAATAGGTCTGCAGTTTATTGCTTCGGCAGCCTCTCCCAGAGCTTGTTTATTCAGATGTCGGTGCCATTGTCACAGGTTGTGTTTCCCTAATTCGCAGATGCGCGTGTTGTTTGCAGCAATTAGCGTTGATGAATTTCTTTCGGCGGCAGTCTGTATAAATTTCCATTTTCTACCCTCAAGTTTTAGGACGGAACTAATGACCACGTACATTTCCATATTTCACATAGTTTTGCTTGGCTGTCCATTTGCATTTTTATGTTGATGTAGGAATTCATTGTATGACAGGTTAGACATCTGAAAAAGTGCATTTTTACTTATTTATTTAAAAAAAATATTTTTTTAACTTTAACATGTTCATAAATTTTGAAAATATGAATCTGTTTTGACTGAAACTAGAAGGAATTGGCCTGGGGGGAGCCTATGGTTTAATGATGATCTCACCTCTTGTCTATACTTTGGGCACATCTGTGTGTAAGTTAAACCCCGTGCAGTCTTCCTCCTGAAAATGGTTGTGGTCGTGTTTAATCTCCTAAGAGGATTTGAGATGAAGTAAAGAAAGAGGTGGGTGTTTTCCTTTTCTGAAGATCCTGGCGCTGCAGGTTCCGAGGCACTAATCCTTTTCAAGGCCACAAATCACTCACCCTTCACCAGCTCTCACAAGGTCCAGAAAACAAATGTCACTCTTGACAGTTTTGTTAATCCAGCTTTTAGAATAAGGCCTTCAAATGATTCACAAAACCTACACATTGTGCACGCCGCTGACTTTGGTGTCCTCCTAATGCTTCAGTTTCTCTGTTGTACAGGAACATTGGCAACTATTTATCTATTAATAAGAGTGTGGACTCCTGCTTCGGGTCAGACAGTTATGTGACCTCACTGGAGCATGTCCAGGCCCGGCTCACCCTGTCTTACAACCGAAGGGGAAACCTGGCCATTCATCTCATTAGTCCTGCTCGCACACGCTCCACCCTGCTCCACCCCAGGTACCAGGTACCAATGTCATCCTACACTGCTCAGGTTGGTAAACGGTATTTAACACTCTCCTTGTTGGTTTCTTCCAGGCCTCATGACTACTCGTCAGAGGGCTTTAATGACTGGGCTTTCATGACCACCCACTCGTGGGATGAGAACCCCAACGGGGTGTGGACGCTGGAGATAGAGAACGTAGCTGGTGCCAGTGACTATGGTAAAAAAGCTTTCTTCTTGCTATAATCTATTGAAGTTAGAAGTTTAAAGTGTTGTTTTAAGAGAGCATAAATAACGTCAAACACCAGCCCAATCGAAGATGATTAGACCTTCTTTCCGACAGTCATTGAAGGGCCTTTCTGTAATGATATTTAGCACATGGTAATCTGTTGGGTCTGCACTTCAGCTCAAGGGTTCAAAGTCCAGCACCAGGAGATTAGAGATCAGGTGGAATTGATCTTTGAAGCCAGAGTATGTTTGGTGTCTTTCTAGTCGAGTGTGTGTCGCTTTGTGGAAATCAGTTGCCTCGTTCATCATGCTTCCTGCACTAGATAAAGAAACAAAGTGAACACTCTGTGGGTGCTCTTCATTATGCTAATGTGTTTGCTGCTTCCTTTCGGTGAGGATGTCAGACAGAGATCTGAGGAAAGATCCACCTTTGTTTCCTCGTTCTAAGCTTCTCCAGAAGCCTCCTCTGCCCTCATCTCCTCAGTGTGCTTTTAAGGGATTAGAAAAATGGCTCAAGATTGGTGGATGGGTGGGGGGGACAGATGGGAGGTGAAAGGGAACATGATTTATGATAAAAAGCAGCCTTTATTTTATTTTTACCCTTGCATCATCTACAAGCAACAGTCTTATCTGGACATAAAAGCTCCTCCCACATCACAATACTCGGCCAAGTTAAACCCAGAAAACAGATTCAGATATATATAAATTACTCATCCCTTCTCAGAAAGCAATGATTTACTGAAGTTGAACGTCTCACAAGGCCCCACACTTGAGTGATTTTTGAGAAATGTGCACTTAATAACCCAAGTTAGTCACAGAGTGGAATCCTCCCGTGCTACGTGCGGCTAATGTAACTGAGTCATTTTCTGTCAGAAATGTCAGAGTCAACGAGGGGAACAGGGCACATTTCCAGGATCCTCCGGGAGTGCTGGAGCGTTACTGTTTTTGACAGGCCTACTTCTAATTTCAGTGTTTAATCCCCATCTCTCCATTTAGGCACTCTGACCCAGTTCACCCTGGTGCTGTACGGCACCGGCTCACCCTCTTCCAGCTCCTCAGAGGAGTCTCAGCCCAGCAACGGCAGCTGCAAGACCATGGATCTGAGGCTGGTGTGCATTGGTGAGACTATCATCCACATATTGTCTCCAGTTTCACGGCATCTGCACAACGACACGCATACCAGAATGTATCAATAACATAACTGTCCATTTTAAATGGCGAGAAAACTTCTGGTGGGATTAATTTAGCTTGACCGCTTGTCAGATTTTTTAAATCTAATTTTAATTTGAATGTGCTCATCCCGTGGCACCGGCCCAGTGCAAGTATTGCTACAGGCAAGGTCGAATCCTACCACTGATCACCGACACAGTGTGGAGTCCAGGAGCGCGTTGCCTGAGACAGGGACAGTCTGACCCCTACAGGCTGTCAGAGGTCCTCACATGTTGACAGGCAGGCAGCCTTCAGGGGCCACTGGCCTGCAGATTTTTGATGTCTCCCAGCTCCACACAGCTGATTAAAAGGATCCCTCAACAGCTTGCTGTCAGACTCTGCTAAAGCCTGTTACGGACCTATTAATTTGAGCTAGGTTCCGTAAAGCGGGGAAACTTCTAAAATATGTCAAGGGTTGGCCCCCGAGTTCTGGAGTTTTACAGTGTTGGAAAAGAGCCAAATGAATGTAATTGGCGCATATTTGACTTTCACTTCAATAGGGGCATCCGCACACACTGAGCTCTCAGAAAAGGCTCCTAGTGATAGTTACTTATATTTATTTTTTTGTCTTTACTCCACGATGAAACACCACAGACAGTCTTTCTGTTTGCTCTTTAGCTCTGCGTCCCCAAGCATGACCACTTTGTGGGCAGCTCTCTGCACCTGGCTGTGCAGCGGGTCCGTTTGGTTTAACCTTCCTCCTGTGTTAGGGTCGGCACCGACCCGCTTTTTTTATTTTTTTACACAGGAGGAACACAAAGTGTTAGCACTTGAGGAAGATGAAAACATAAAACTGTTAATTATATATATATATTTGTAATAAAGTAAGTAACTTTAGTAATGGCAACTTGAAAGCTAATTTACCTCCAAAAACGCAACGGATAAACAGAAATGACCTAAATCTACTACCCATCAGAGTCTGTTTTCTCCTGTTACTTTGAACTGTGCTCACTGGGCCTCAGACGTCTGGGCAAGTGTCCTTGTTCCCCATTTCTGCGCCGCCTGACTCATATGGGGAGGTCAGAAATGTGTGCAGCTGCTTATTTCGCTTTCTGTCTCCATCTGTCACAGAGTGCAACGCTGGCTACTACCTCCACCAGCAGGGCTGCGTGAAAGAATGTCCAGCAGGCTTCGCGGTGGGCTCGCAGCCCCTCAACTACACAGTGGGGAACTTCGTAGAGCCAGCGTCCGTCCCGGCATGCCTGCCCTGCCAGCCGCCCTGCCTCACCTGCAGCAGCCTGAGCCCGCAGACCTGTCTGTCCTGCCCCCCTCACAGCTACCTGGACCCCGTTTCTGGCACCTGCCTGCACCTCAACCATTACATGCGCGAGTCCCCCGGCAGCTTCATGGTGGGCCAGGGGCCGGAGCGGTCGCAGTTCGAGCTGGGCTCCCAGCTGCCCATCACCGTCGCCGTGCTCAGCTGCATAGCCATCATCGCCACCTTCGCCGGCATCTTCCTGCTGCTGCAGCTGCGCTCAGGCGCGCTCATCAAGCTGCCCTCCCTGGAGGCCGGCGGCGGCTTGAGGGGCACCTTCAGCTTGGGGGGGAACCGGATGGTGTCATACCGCGGGATCCCAACAGTGTGGGGAGACGACGGGGTGAACACAGACTCCGAAAACGAAGAGTTCGACGTCCACAACGAGAGGACTGCCTTTATCAAAACACAAAGTGCTCTTTAATATCTCCACAACGTCCTCTCCTGCTTTTTAAAACCCTCTCACACCCACCCGTTTGATAATTCAGGGCCCTTTCACGGCCTCTTCCCCCTTTTATCCTTTTTTTTTCTCTTTTTCTATCTCATCGGATTCTCGAGTGTGTCCTGTTTCGAGATCTGGTCTTCCATTCTGCTGTGGGAGACCTGATGGGAAGCTGCTTTCTCTTAAAGCTGGGGATGGCCTGAGCTTTGCTCTATCCACACTTGGGTGCATTTTTATTAAACTGGCTCTGCCCCCCACCCCCGCCCCCAACCCACTAACAGTATCTTTCTGTTCGGTCTATTTTCCCCTCCAGTTACAGCTTCTTTTTACAGTAAAAGCACAGTTTTTTTTCTCCCTCTTTTTTCTTTTATTTTTTTGGTCTTTTTCCCCTCTTATTAGTCTCGGTGCAGTAGCCAGATGAGATTGCTGAATGTGAAAAGTTGAGATGCTTGTTTGTGCTTTCACAATTCTCAATGAAGGAGTCTGCATAGATAAGTGTGTGGATTTGGTGATCAGCTAATAGGTTAGTGTCCTTTTCAAAGGAGTTAGTCCGTTAGCATATTAACTAAAAAACAGCAAAAATAATGAGGCATTCAATTCAATTGGGACATCCGTTCTCTCCAAAGTGTCATTTACTGACAGCAGCATCTTGTCTGCCCACAAAGCACCACATATCTGTAGTAGTTCACTTTTTAAAGTGCGTTTGAAAGTGCACAAATCAAGAGCTTAGTAGTAGAGAGAGATGGTCAGGATATATTAGGGACTGAAATGGTTTCAAATGAACATCTCCAGTCATATGAACAGACAGGATGGCATCTCTGGAAGTGCCATCTCAGCTGTTTTTCAATTCATAGCGAGACAGTTGTAGTATCTCCCTTAAACATAATCCATCTTTCATCAAGCTGCTTCTTCACATCCAGTGTAGTTACCCCCAGTGCTGAAAGATCCCTCTCAGCTCTGAAGGAGCCGAGTGCGAGTCCCTCAGACAGCAGAGTATCCCACAGCCATTCGGGGTTTCTGAAACGGGCTCATTCTAGTTGATCAAACTATAAATTCTCCCGTTTTGAAAACCTCCCATCCAGTACAGAGGGTATCCAAAAAAGCAGAAATGACAGCTAAACAACACAGACACACACACACACGCTCTACTTGGTAGACCCCGAGGCACTATCCCTTCCAGGGATGTTTAATCTCAGTGTCTGACGTGCCCACATCATGGAGCTGAGAGGGGAAAGCAGCTGATGTGTTTGTTGTGTGCGTGTGTGTGTGTGTGTGTGTGTGTGTGTGTGTGTGTGTGAGAGATTGTGATGAGCTTCTCAAAGCTAGCAGGTGTTGAGTTGCCCGCGATTGATTTCTTGACATAGAAGACACCGTGACAATATATCAAAGTGTTCCTTCTGTCGGAGCGGGTCAGCACAACAAACGCGCAGCCCGTATCTTAAAGGATGAGTGTTAGTCCCTACGTACGTGCGAGGATGGAAAATACTTACGCGGGCTCTGAAAATGAAAGTTTCTCTTTCCTCCGCATTCAAATCCTGAACATTGTTTAAGATTCTCTTGCCGAGGCTCCACAGCTCATCAGCGTCTCTGCACTTACCCTCCGGTCCTCATCCAAGCCCAATTCCAGATAATCTCCTTAGTGTACTTGGCAATTATTCTCCAAATGATACTACAGTGAAGTATTTATTCTGGGAGATTTTAATCGTACCTATAGGGAATTGATTGTTTTAAAGTAATTTCTCTTTTTCCTCCCTTCTGGGCTGGTTATGGTCTGAAATATGCATCTGATTATTTAATCCATTGTAGAAAATTTGATTCCACTGATCTCTCTGTCTCTTCTTTACTGAAATTATGAATAATATTATTATTATCATTTTCTTCATCTTCCAATGGAAAAACAGCAGCGCTTTCTGAGAGAGGTTGTCATGGTGATGACGTGCACAGCCAACTGCAGCTGCTCATCCTTCTATCTACCTCTCGTATCAGACAGCAAGGCTTCATGTGCAGTTAGAGGGGCTGTTCAATGGTTGTAGAGGTCAAATTATGTGTAAATTAGACATGAAAACTCTCCTCAGGAGGGATGGGGAGAATACGTGTGCCCGTAAGATCTACGTCTTAGAGGAGAAACAAGCAATTTCCATCCAGAAACGGCAAAGCTACTGTGTAAATGCTGTTCCCCTGGGCAACCTATCTTTCCTTTACATTTATTGCCTTCAAGGATCAGCATTCATGCACGGTCACACCTGGGCTTTAAAACTTGTTATTGGAACAAAATGTAGAGAAATGTCCTCTGATCTATTTGGGTAACGTAGCAAGTAGCAAGATCAACCTGAAATTATTTGCAGTGTTTTTTTTGTTTTTTTTTGTGTTTTCCTTCATCTTTAACTTCTGGTGTTCTGGTGTTAAGATATGTTTTTTTTTTCCCTCTTAAACGTCCTGTCACTGACAATCAGTTTCCTTGCCTTGAAGGTAAGAAGGAGCAGAGGCCCTCGAGCAAATCGATTTAGCTTCTAATTTAACCTTCAAGGGAGGCGTCGTTAACATGCATTTGAATGTGATTTAAATTGCAAAAGAAACATTCGTAAGAAGAATGCTAAAAGATAAGACAATATAGCGATTTTTTTAAGGCATACCGGCCAAAACCCATTGTCAAAGGGATGGAAAAAGATGGCTATGACTGCTGTCAAACTTCGCAGTGAGCCAGGAGCTTTAATTCGCCTCAGATGGCCGGGGCAGGTGCAGCACATTTGGTTTACTGCAGCAGTCTTCACTGGAAGCAAACCCCACACTTTGGACTCAGACAAAACGCTCATAAAAAGCAAGAAAGTTTTTTGCGGCAAGTGTTTTGCTGCAGGGTTTTGTGTGATGTGCATTAGTGCCTATTGCCATTTAGGCTTCGAATGGTCCCAGTTTTAGGGAGGTGCTCATTTATCTCCGGCTGCAGACTTCAGCCACAAAATCTTATTGACTTCCCAGCTTGATGCAAAGTGTGTAAACAACAGATAATGGGCTAATGCTGCAAGAAAATTGCTTCCAATTAAACTCTGGATGCTTAGAGTTGGGTTCCTTTGAAGAATTGTAATGAAAAACTGAATCACGTCAGCATCACGCGCGCACAATTTTCCTCTCTAGACTTTTATATTACTTCCTCAAAGAATATTTTCCTCTAAAAATGCAGCATTTGGTGCCCAGAGCAGGCTCACAAAGTCATTTATTCATCTTAGCTTGACGTATTCACTACAGTTTAAAAAAGAAAACCTTGAAACGATGACCTCTAAAGTCCTGGCAGTCAAAAAGTAAAACTTTTAAAGAAAATTCTTAATGCGGCACCATGTAGTAGCGTGTGCTTTCAAAGCTGCCGGAAAAGTTGGTCCTATCACGAGGAGGATGTGATCAAAACACTACACTAAAAGCAAGAACAAGTGATGGAATTGTGTCAGAAAGCAGCTCATAACGATGAGGCCTCCACATCCCTGGTAGTAAAGTGTGAAGCCTCGTAACACTGACAGAAATCTGCTCCCTGGAAAGACTCTTTCCATCCCTGACTCCTTTCAAGTGGAGCTGGATGTTGCTCTTGTCCTGCTTTAGGCTGTGATGAGAAATAATCAGCGTGACATCAGACGTAGGAGATAGGAGCAGTATCTTTGGCCAAAACCAAAGACAATCATTTTAACAATGTCTGTTTGGTGTTGGGACGTGTTGCTTTCAGGTTGTGTCCAACCCCCCCCCCCCCCCCCCCCCCCCCCCCCCCCCCC